TTGGCAACACTGAGTATCTTACTCCAGATATAATCTCTTTGAAATCAGTGGGGTTACCTATGGAATAAGATACTACTCAGCTAGGGTGACCAGACAGCAAATGTGAAAAATCAGGACAGGGGGTAGGGGGCAATAGGAGCCTATATAAGAAAAAGACCCAAAAATCGGGACTGTCCCTATAAAATCGGCACATCTGGTCACCCTATACTCAGCATGTGTAAGTGTATCAGCATCCGCTCCCTGATTTTCTTCTAAGGACATCCTGAAAACATTACCTGACAGTCTACTTAAAGGAAAATCAAATCAGAAAAACAAATATTTTTAAAACAAATTAAAAAACAAACAAACCCAAGCTGACTGGGTCTTTTAAAATATTACAGGATGGTTAACAATAAAATTTACAGAAAGGTTAATTTCTATTAAATTCTACAGGACTTTTCCATAGAGGACGCAGAAGACTTCCAAAGCTAACCAGAGAAGAAACATCACATATACAATAGCTTCCTGGCAGGAAAGAAAAATTCCTGTGCATAGCATAAAATCAATCAATCAATCACTCAATCAATCATTTCCTGGGATAGCAGAATAGCACCTGCAGCTGTGGGGGGATTTGGACACAACCACTCATTTTTATTGCTGGGCTCTCAAAACCAGTCCGTTGGTGATAAGGTATAAATATATATTTAGCTCCTTATGTTGGAGGTTACACATACATGCGAACCATCACTGTGATGCTGTGTATATACAAACAGATGATCAGAGGCCACCAGTTAGCGTCACAATTAACACGTACCCCTCAATAACAGGTTTCAGAGTAGCAGCCGTGTTAGTCTGTATCCGCAAAAAGAACAGGAGTACTTGTGGCACCTTAGAGACCCCTCAATAGCAACTCTACTGATAGGAAAGGGTTAACATAAGTAATATGTGGGGGAGAGTCACATGAAGCACCCACAAGCCAACCAATGTGATAAATGGATTAGAGACCATCCCAACATTGTTCCCCCATCACTGTCCCAGAGTTAGTGGGTCTGATTCTCAGCTCCAGTGAGTAACTCCATTGATTTCAGTGTAGTGACTCCAAATTTACATGCTGGCAAGAGATTCGAAGCCGACCCAGAATTTTCTGCACTTATCCCATTTGTTTGTTGACATAACCCTTATTGCACGTACTGGATCGTTCCCCAAGGAGGAAAAGGCAGCTCCTTCTCCTCGGTTACCCATTCAGAACTGCCGCTGTGCCCATGACAAACGACCGCTTCCAGAACAGATTGCACGGCAAGGAAGCGTCCAATGTAAAGGTCACACATTGGAACCCGCTATGCCCAGCTGGGAATTGCACACGGGCCTCCTGAAAACTGCTGAGCATAGTTCTTACTAGTGTGAACACTACATCGAAGACAGTGGCCCAGTTTTCCTACCTGTGCTCATGCAGATACCTGACTCTGCAAGTCTTCCTGATGAAATCAACGAGACGAGGCGTGGAGCAGGGTAAAAGTGGCCGAACGAGGCCCAGTGGGATGATACTACTGTGCTTTAGCAATGGCTGAAGGATGAGGCCTTTCAAGCATTGTCCATCACCCACTGACATTAACGGAATGACTCCCATTGACTTCAACAGGTATCAGATGAGGTCCTTAGTTCGTAAGAGCCTCCACAATCCACGTCCCCGGGACAGAACTGAGGCCGAGCATGCAGCTCACATGCTAATTTCTTGGGGCCATGACTCCCAGTGACTCTTTCCCACAGCCTGGAGCACAAACAAGGCACCTTCTCCACCCCACCAAGGCGATACTTAGAAATCTGGAATGCAGTCCGGGAGAGATTCTCAATGGCTCTGATCAAGAAAGCTCAGATGTAACTGAACAACTTTCCCGGTCCTCAAACGTAACAAAAGGGAACACGGCAATGGCTGCGAAGCGGACTTTCTCTTCCTAAATATGTCCCACCAGCTGGAAGAGGCAGCCTCTGTTCAACACCGGAGGGGGTCAGGAGTGTTCTGCGTTATGGAACTTTCAGCTATTCTAGTTCTCCAAAGAGCAGAACAGTCCTGAATACCACACAAAGGCATTCAGCAATGTCCTGCTAAGGGGCCACGTGTGGGAAAGTCCTATGGAATGTACTAAGGCAGAAATCAGTAGGGTCTATAGAAACAACTTTGGAAATCCTATAGATTTTAATGGACAGCGAGGTCCTTCCTGAAGGTTATGTTTAATCAGTCCTATAAGCACAGATAGAATTCTCCATTCAATTCTACGGGGCTTTTCCATGGAAATAGCTTAAGAACATATATTCACAGGGCCAAACCATTGAAGCACTAGCAAATTCTAGAATCACTGGCATTCTCAGGTCATTACTTTACCAGCTGTGCAAAAGGTGCAATTTCTAAGTGTTACCAAAAATTCCTCACATTCTCCCAAGCCACTTCATCTCATACAGATTGTCTTCAGCCAAGGCCAAAAGATCTTCACATACCTCCTCCAAGAAACCCTGCCACATGAGCCCATGTGCAAATCCATTCCAGAGTGGGGCTAGAGGTGTATGGAGAACACAGGATCCCAAGTTTCCTGCTGGGACAGCTGGATTCCAACCAACTCCCAGCCACTTTCTGCAATATGTATCCCATGCTTTTGGCTGTGGTGGTTCACTTGAGGCTTCCTCTGGTGGTACAGGTGGTCTACACAGAAACCATCAAAAACACACAAAACTACAGTCAAAGACAGCATGACAAGACAGAGTGCAGGCACTCCTTCTCTCACACACACTGCTAATCCCAGAAGGCAAGGTTGTGTCTAGAGAATATCTCCACCTGCCATACACAGATACACTCTTTTCAATGACCGACGTTCTTGGATTCTGTCTCAGCTGCATTCCGGTGCAGCATCAAGTCTTGGCTTCTTCCTGCCGTTCCCAACCCAGGTGAGTCTGTTTCCATTCAGAAAAAAGCCTTTAATCCCATCTGGGGTCCCCATACCTTGGTGGATCCAAACACATGTTGAAGTATACATTAGCACAAGCTGTTAGGGGCTCCAACATAAACAGGGGAGTACTTAACACAGCTATAATTGGCAGAGAAAAAAAGCAAAAGATAAGTGAGAATCAGACTCCATTAGTAAGAGCTATTTGTGGGCCAGTCAAGCCAATCTCCTTCCCCTTCCCCATGCTATTAGCTTAGATCAAGCCTGGTACATGATATTAAGTAGATCTCTTTGCAATACTTTTTTCCTCAGAAGAGGGTTAATTCCCACCAGCACTTTTCTGGCATTGGGATACCAAAGACCATTTAATCAGAACCAGATGTTTTGAGTGACATCCAGAGCCAGTCAATTCCACACCACTTGGTTCCCAAAATATTTCATCCCATGGTTCTTTAGCTCACCAGAGGTCCCTGGATCACTGCTCGAGAATCACTGAGTAAGACAGCTTCAGCAGCCTCATCTGCTCACCCTGTAATTCTGTCCTGCAATGGAAACTGCTGATGAGTGCCGAGTAGATTCCCTTGCTCTTTAAATTCAGTCCAGGAGTCAGGGCCAGGGGCAATAAAGGAGACTAGGGCTTTTCAGCTAAGGAATCAGTCCCGCCCCCCCAAAAAGAAAAGAAATTCTTATAGATAAGAGGGCCAGATCCTCAGCTGGTGGAAGCCAAGGTAGCTCTACTGAAGTGGAGGGATAGCTCAGTGGTTTGAGCATTGGCCTGCTAGACCCAGGGTTGTGAGTTCAATTCTTGAGGGGGCCACTTAGGGATCTAGGGAAAAATCAGTACTTGTCCTGCTAGTGAAGGCAGGGGACTAGACTCAATGACCTTTCAGCATCCCTTCCAGCTCTATGAGATAGGTATATCTCCATATATATTTTTTATAAATTAATGGAATTATGCTTCTTCGCATCGCCAGCTGAGGACATGGCTCAACAAATATTCACAACATGTGCATTCTCCCCAGAGGTGCTAGGTTCCTGGTACCAACAGGCTGGGTAAGGCCAATGCCATTATTCAAATAGGGACATTCTGACTCGCTGGCTGGACGGGCAGACTAAATAACTTGCCTGGTCTCACTTTCCAGCTCCGACACGATTCCAGTTACAGCTGCACACGGAGACAAAAAATGAAGCCACTCAGCAGCAAGACAATGTGCCGGCCCCATTAGTACAACTCCACCCACTGTCCCCCTCAACAGCCACTTCCAATAAGGCCCCAGAAAAATATGTCCGCATGTCTCCTTCTCTCTCAAGCCACCAGCTAGAATTACACACTATTCTTACAGGGCCCGACCCAAAAGTTCTGATGTGGGAACAGCAGGATTGGGCCACAAAGTACCAAATGGGCCAGCCCTCCAGAGCCCCTCTCCACCACAGGGCTTCCTGAAAAGGGGGCAAGAAATCGAAAGTGATGGGCTTGAATGACAGCTAATGTTTCCTTTTATAAAAGGCAGATCATTTATTGGTTCAGGTCTTCCTCTTGCAACCTCTTTGATAACAGTCAGAATATTACTGTGCTGGTAGGATGTAGACCCAAGGGCCTGATTCTGATCTCACACACCAGTACGACACCCTTGACGTCAATGGGTTTACTCCCCATTTGCCCTGGTGGGAGGTCAAAATCGGGTCTCAAAGGTGACCAAAAATTCAGCCCATGGAGATGCGCAATTCCTCCTGAGCAGCTGGCAGCTACCAGAACACGGTGGTGCACCTCAATCTGAACAAAAGACCACCTGGATGGAAATGCACACTGGGGTCTTCTCCACAGGTCTCCCTCCAGTGTGACGGGCAGTTGCGATCTGCTCCATTTAAGGCAATTTGGTGCAACCCTTGGCAGTTCCCAACAACTTGCCCATGTGGCTCTCAGCTGAGCCATATTCGCATGCGCCTGCGGTAGATGCTGGCGCTCTTCCAATGGCCATCATGATCTCCTCCAACATGAGAGAGGATAACCTTGCTTTCCCACCCTCCCCGGACATCAGACCATCCCAAAGAGAGTGCTACCGTACTTGGAGTTAAAGATAAACATATATTGATTACACATGGTCATTAAAAAAAAATGTAGTAATAATACATTTCCTAGAACATTACTTAAGATGCTTTTGGAAAGCATCTGAACTCCCCCGACCCCCTTCCCCGTATCTACACAGAATAAAGTGCTTCATTTATTTTGTTCACAACTAGTAGAGCCACCGATACACTCTTTACTTGGCATGTTTGGGCAACAGATACTGAATGCCATAAAATAATACACAGCCAAACGTCAGGCATTAGAAACTAGTTTGAGGCAAGTGAAGTGCTTGTGTTTCTTTTTCTGTTAGTTTGTTTCCTTCAAGTTCCATGCTACTGAGGTTGTTCTTTTATTAGGTTCTACCCACCCCTTCCCTTCATGGATGATGTGTCTCTAGGCAGGGCTGTGGTGGAAAGCTGCTTCCATCCATGTGGACCAAAGGTGTCTGTCTGGAAAGAGTTAAAAATCAAGGTTGTCCAGCAGCTGATGCCAATTTGCTATTGCACTGCGTCACAGCCACCTCAGTCTGTCACCCCTCTGGCTGCGTTCTCATTATGGCTGTCGGCCAGGGGGCCAGCCCTGCTTTATGAACACTATGAGGCAAACCGGTCTGGGCTACCAGGTTCCTGGGAAATTGAAAACAAAGACCATCCCCACCACCGCCCCCTCCCTGCAGGTTCAACCCAAGAAAATGAGGCTGGGGGAGTGGGCAGGTGTGTGTGTGCAGAGTTGTTTGCTGAACGTTCATTAACTGCTAGTGGAAATGAAGCCCCTCTCAGACTCGTGGCGCATTGAAGGAGGGATGCGAGGGGTTAAGGTGCAAGAATTCAAATAATAAAAAGATTGAAAACAACAGGCTGAATTTCTCCCCTGGTCGAACTCAAGAGGCTTTGTAGGAGTTCTACCAGGGACGAACATGGGCCAATACGCTTCTGGAGCCATTCGCTTCAGCTCTTGGTACGGTCACAAAAATACCCAAATCAACACATTTAGACTCAATAAGGGTGTAGACAAAAGGGTTCAGAGATGGCGCAGGAGTCCTGGAGGTGTCTCTCCATCCTGGCCTTGGAGCCCCAGGGATCTGTGCATGCGCTGCTCTGCTGTCTCCAGGCTGCTCTCTGGGCAACATTTTAAAATGAATCCAAATGGGCAAACAGGCGTGGATGGGTTCTTTATGCACCTGTGTCTGCCCGTATCACCAAGTGGCTGGATTCTCCTCCCGCTTACACCTGTTTAACGCTGGCTTTAGTGGGGTCACGGCCAGGTCCCCTTGTGGCGCGCTGTGGCAGCTTTAGTAAGACACGCAACAACTCACCTGCACATCTTAGGCAATCCAAAATAGTGTCCTCCATGCGCCGTGACCTTGCATGTGCGGCGCATGCGAGGGCAGGCTGGACGGAGGATGCCATTTTGTTCTACAGAATGGGGTCCTCCAGGGGGTTGTGCCCAGCCGGTTGTGCATGCAATGCACGTTTTGCGTACACAGAAGGCATCCCACTGGATTTACCCCAGTCTGTGAGGAAGAACAGGCCCCTGAGACAGGCACACTGAGAAACTGCAGCAGGCTGGGGGAGAAGTGAGCGATTCCAATTGGATTCTAGGCAATCAATGACTTTCCCTTTTGGGAAGTGCGCGTTTGTGGGAGTAGATTCAGTGCTGGGGAAAGGGACCAGTTTCTCAGCCCTGGAGGTTGACATTTTCTGGCCATGGAACAGCCCCATTACGGGCAGTGCTACCTATCCTCACGGCGCCCTGCTAGCCTACCTCAACCCTGATTTGGAAGAGTAGGAGTGGCAGGGGAAATCGGTGTGCATGGCCCTTTCTTTCCATGACCTCTGTAGAGTCTGCCCGCAAGGGCTAGGCAAGAGGGACAATGATGGAGGTGGCTTTTAATGACATGGGATGAGACCATCAAACCCCCCATGGCACAGGCCTTCGGCCGGCCATCCTCAGAGGGTAAGACCTTCCAGTCACGACCAACTTGGGTTGGGTTCACACCAGTGACATAAATGAGGGTCTCTAGGGCCTGAGGGTCTCTAGCTCATTGCCAAGCTCTTGAGACATCTGGTCTCCTTGCAGACACATGTGATATCTAAAAGATGCTGGACAGTCCTAATAACACGCAGGATGCTGGACCTGTGGAAGCAGCTGAGTAGGACATCCTGTCCCATGGGATATCTGCCACTGATCTGAGGTGCTCACAGCCATACCGGCAGCCCATTCAGCAGCCGCCTCACTTCGCATGAAGCAGAACCAGACTGTTTGCGAGCACAGAATCTGCAATACACGACGTTAACTGATTGCAGTATAGAGGCTGCGGCTGACACAGGCGAGAGAAGGGGTCAATGGATGTGAAAAGCGATGTGCCTTTCAATGCCAGCTGGTGCGCTAACGAGGAGGTGCCAGATGTGGGGGGCAGCACTGGACGTGCACTTGGTGTGCCAAGCCGGAGTGAAGTGGATCAGTCATTAAAGTCACAAGTCAGCAGTCTAGCCCTAGTCAGCAATGCACTTAAGCTCACGCTTAACTTTAAGCACATGGTTAAATCCCGTTGACTTCAATGAGGCTTAAACACATGACAGTTAAATAAAGATGGCTGCCTGCATGTGTTAAATGCTTTGATGAGTTGGGGCTATTAAGACACGCCGTTGCAGCTTCTGCCTTAGCCAGCCGCGGCTCAGAATCTCCACGCATGTAGGTGTCTCGACTGAAGCTATAAAGCCAACAGAACAAATTGCTAATGAGAAAGGGCTTCTTCAGCTGACTATGTGTGTCTTCTCCCTCCTGCTTCCCTTTTTCATATCCCAGTGGCAGTGCTCGCATTGCCAACTATGAATCTGGCCAATGTATTTCAGTATAGCCTTTTCTCCTAGATCCTGCTCCACCACACATCGGGACCAGAAGGAGATACATAAGGGGCAATAAAATGACCTCAGTCAGCACTGCCTTCTGCCACTCTGCAAGGTGCTGAGCAGCTCTTAGAGCAGTGCAAAACACCCCCCAACACACACCAATGGGAGTTGAAGGTGCCTCCTAGGAGGTGCTTAGAGTATTGCAGGATCTAGCCTTGAGGGCTTGTTTGGACTAGGGAAAGCCTCTAGACTAGGGTAATTACATCAGTGTGGTTACACCGTTGCAACCTTCTAAAGTACAGGCACCGCACTGCTGCAAAATGGGGCTTTTCCTAGGGTAAGTCACATAAGTGCAAGCCCCATTTTAGGCCATGGGAGGTAACAAAAAAGCCATTCTAGACAGGGCCTAAATGAGCTGCCATTCCCTGACCATGGCACGTGCCAGCCACATGACATCAGGGTTATAAGCTGTACTCCACTAGTGTGAAACGGACCTTAATAAGTGAAATGCAAGATGAGAGTTGTCAGTGTAAGAGACAGAAAAGCCCACCGACATGATGCCGCTTCAGACAGAGCCAGCAGAGGCCGGGATGGGTACTGTTCTGCTGCACTTCAGTGATCTGAGCTATCCCCCCGAGAGGCCAATGCTAAAAGGCTTCCCTAGTCTGAAATAGTACCCTAAGTAACGTGGCACAATCCCACATCAGTCAAGCAGTATCACGGAGCCAGGCGAGGGAGTTAAATTTGCCGGACCTGAAGCTCACATGGGCTTGCAACATTTTATAAAGTGCTTGTCCTTCTTGCCAGGCCCCTTCACCAATAAGGCAGCCTCTGGCTAGAGGGCCACTGAATTCTAGTAGCCAACTCCATGCTAAAGCCCTCAAATGCACTCCCTCTGTACAAAGGCTCGCTGTGCTGTGACTGAAGGCAAAACTGGACTCCTAAAGGAGAGTAAAGTACTGGGGCTAGGGGACATGAGACTTGAAAGGAGGAAAAGGAGACGAACCACTGCTCTTCCTTGGTACTACAGGCAGGTTATCAGAGCTGGCGTGCAGACTTCACGCTAACCAGACTCCCGAGCACACACTGGGGAGCTTACTTTCAATAACTGTAAGGCACTATTATGACAAGTAACTTCCAGGGAAGTCCAACCTAGGACTAGATTTTATTTTATTTTATTTATTTTAATTTATTTATTTTCTAGATCCTGCTGCGCCGTTCAGGCTGGAGTGGAACGACTTTCCAACCTGCTTTTTAGTCTAAAGACCAACGGAGAGCTCACCACGGGAATGCTCCAGCTCCACCAACAGAGCCCACACACAGCTCCAGCCCACTTCCTAGAAACATGGGGCTCATTTCTAGCATCGGAGCTGGGATTATCATGGGTCTTAGCCCCTTTGGGGAAAAAATCATATCAAGCTAGTGAATCCTTTCATTAAACCCAGCTGTCTGAGTTGGGGCTTTAGTCTAACAAATTGCAGAGGAAGTGGGGGGGCGGGGTGTGGAATCCCGGTTGGGAAGGAAGACATAACAAGGGCTGCTAACAAGAGCAGGCTGTGATGGTGGGTTTTGAGAAGTGGGCCTCTCTCCACTAATACACAGCCCCCTAACTCATAACTTAGTTGGGGATTGGTCCTGTTTTGAGCAGGGGGTTGGACTAGATGACCTCCTGAGGTCCCTTCCAACCCTGATATTCTATGATTCTATGTCATGTGGGCCACTGGAGATGCCAGATAGTGGTAACGTCTCATCCTCCCTAACCTGGCTTGGATTTCAGCCATGACCAGGGGATTCCTGTGATGAAGTGGTGAACTCATTGAAAGATCTTTCCTGCAGTACTAGCCTTTCAGGACGAGGGACGGGCTCAAGCACAAATATGCTAGATTACATATAACAGCCACTACCTCTAATCTGTGTAGCTGCCATGAAATATTACCATCCTTTGTTTTCGTAGCCTGTGTCACTTAGAAATCCCCCTCCACCATGCACAGAATAACATAGCATCTCTGCCTTTCCTTGTGACTGTTCCTGCGGCTGACTCACTGTGTGAAATAGCCCCCGGGCCAACCTCACAGGGATTCTAGCTCTCGTGCATCTTTGCATCTCTGTGTGCCCATGTCCTGTGCAGTTTTCCCAGAGAATGATGATTTGGGCTGAAACACCCATTATGGTGGCTAGAGCAGGGTTACCAAAGGGTTGGTCTATGCTGCAATCAGAGGGGTGTGATGGCAGCACATGTAGACATGCCAAAGGCTAGCTTTGATCTAGCTAGCTCAAATAACAACAGCAGTGAGGCTACGGCAGTACAGACTAGCTGTTCAAGTACATAGCCAGGACCCTGGATGGGTGTGCATGGCACATGCCGCTGCAGTTTCAGTGCAAATGTTCTTCAAGCTAGCTAGCTCAGGTACGTCTACAGGTGCCGCAGTGACACCTCTGACAGCAGCACAGACCCAAAGTGTGCCATGTGGCAACCCTTATCTTTACCACAGCCTGCAAAGACTACAGCTCCCAGCATGCTATGTTCCTTCCTTCGCCCAGCAGAAAGCCATTCGGAACAGCACTGCATGCTGGGACATGTAGTCTTTTCAGGTGGTTTCAGTGGCATACTAAAGAGGGGCGCAACCCTGATTAAACATTTTGCACAGGATGCATCGTGGACAAGTTCCTGACTAATAGCCACAGGCAAAGCTAAAAGTGCTGCCTCATGAGACAAAAACACCTAAAAACCCCCTTAGTGCTGCCGTGAGGAACTAGTGGAAATGGCTCGATGGGGCTGAGCATGAGCTGTGCACTTCATTAGTCTAACGTACTCGCACGGAACATGGAGGAACACGTGCAAGTGGGAAGACATTGTGGCAAGGGTTACCCCGATACAATAGCGGACTAGGGGGCAGAGGTAAACCATCTCAGCAACAATGCCTAGTGAGGCGGGAGGAGGAGTCTGACCGGGGCTTGGGAAACGCTAAAGCCATGGAACGAGGAGGGAAGGAAGAGCCGTTTGTCTACACCCTGATTGAACGCCGGCACGCCAAGCTGCCTGGGAGCTTGCTGTGGCCCAGAGCACCTCTCCTTTTGCCGGAAGGCTGACGGGCTCATCATAAAACCAAGGGAGGGTAAAAAATCGAAAGAGAGAGAATTAACCGCCTCCCTCCTTCTCCCCGCGTCACGCGACCGAGCAGCCCACTGGGCACTCCCTGCGTGGCAGAGCAGTCCGTGCGCACGCTGGCCTAGTTGTTCGAATTGACCCGCCCAGCTGGGAACAGGGGAGGCGGTGGCGGTAGGTGAGGAGGAGGGGGGAGGGGGTGGAGCAGCGGCAAAGTGAGTGAGTGAGGCGAGGGGGCACCCTGGGGAGCGGAGAGGCCGCCGCCGTTGTTGGCGGGGTTGGTGGTGTCCGAAGCCAGGGGGTTGCTGACCCGGAAGCACTTCTCTTTGTGGGCCTTGAGCATGTTGGAGAAGCGGAAACGCTGGCCGCACACGTCGCAGGGGTAGGGCTTTTCTCCCGTGTGGGTCCGGCGGTGGCGCTTCATGTTGGGGCGGCTGGTGAAGCTCTTGCCGCAGATCTCGCAGATGTAGGGCTTCTCACCTGGGGGACGAGGGGATGGCTGGTTTAGGGACCGCTCCCACCGCTGCTCGGGGGGTGCCCATCTCCCCGGCTTGGCCCTCCCCACCCATAGCCTCCCCTACTTAGCTCAGGAGTGCTGGAGTTCCTTCCAAACCCATCAATGCCATTCCCAGCTCACCAACAGAGCCCAGACTGGGGAACTCCCTCCCCGGCTTGGAGATGAGTTCCTCCCCTCAATAGGGTGGGGACCAGTAATCCCAAGCTCCATCTCCCACCTCGAGCCAGATTTGCACTGGGCCAGCTCACGATCACCCAGCCCTTCAATGGAGCAGCAGGGCTATACATCTCATCAGCTATAGCTCCTAGGCATCGCTAATGCTCCCATCCCATTATTAACCAGGCACCAATGAACAGCCCGTCGCAGAACAGAACCTGTCCCGACACACCAGCATGGGGGGCGGAAGGGGAGCAGCAGAGATATTCCCTGCTCCACATCCCCAGAGGTTCTCGGGGGAGGCAGAAGCTAAAGCAGGATGCCCCCGATGCCTTGTAGCTGGGGGTGAGGAAACTGGACGTCGGGAGAGTTCTCACCCGTGTGCGTTTTCATGTGCTCATCGAAATACTGTTTCATGTTGAAGTCCTTCCCGCACCACTGGCACATGAACTGCTTGTGTCCGATGTGGATGCTCATGTGAGAGCGCAGCTGGTACTTGTACTGGAATCGCTCGTTGCAGTTCTGGAAGGGAGAGGATGAAGTAAGAGACAAAGGCAAGTGGCTGAACAGAAATAGCCCAGGACAGGAGCGGAGAGGGTTTTCAGCTGCAGCAGTCTCTCGCTCGTTCAAGCTCAGTCATGGGTAGCGATCTCTGTTTTACAGAGGGGAAACTGAGGCTCTGAGAGGTTAAGTGACTTGCCCAAGGTTCACAAGGAGTCAGTGGCAGAATAATGACTCCTAGCTATGAACTCAATGTTATCATGAGACATTCCAAATAACTAGGCTTATGATTAGGGGCCAAACCCTAATGCCTTTACTCAACTTTTATTAAGCCCTTGCTTGGTTTTTATTAAGACCTCTCCTAAAGACTTGAGGATGAATAGGTCAAATAATAATTCAGCCATGCATATTGCACTAAAACCTGAAAGAGCTCCAGCTTCCCAGAAAGAATCCCTCTTGGGCTGAGCTAAAAGCTTGTCTAATTTAGGAAAAACTGATTTTAGCTTCAGTGTCCTACATGGTGCCTCACAGAACAAAGTTGTTATCTGAAGCGCACAAGCCTTCCCTTACAGGGAGAGGAAGAGGTGGGGGGTGTGCAGACAGTAAATGGCTGAGAGGACAAGCAGTCCAGGGCGGTGACGGGGGAACATTCACCAGGTAACCTAGCACTTTACATCCTTTTCACTAGAACAACTACTTACCAACTCATCACCAATTCTAAAAGTATTTTAATCTGCAGGACTAGTTAAAAAACATTTCTTGGGCTCTAAACAACAAAAATAAAATAAATAAAATAAAAGCAAAGAATTAAATTGATACACTTTGCCTCAGGAATTTGCTGAAAAACTATCACGCAATTTTTTTTCATACTATATTCACATCATAAAGTTGCAGAGTAAGCGCATTAATAGTAGGTCAGGATCAGAGCTGGTCAGGAAACAGAATTTCTATGCCAGGCGAAAGTTCAACATTTCAGCCCACATCAGGACGAAAAGTCGAATATTTTATGGAACAGAAATTCCAAAAGAGTTTGATTTGGAAACATCAAAACAAAATGTTTCAATAATGTCAAAATTATTATATAACATATGTAACAATAACATGATTATAATATAAAAATATAAAGTTACCGAAACAAGAAAATTTACACAAATTGTTTGGAAACTTTTGCATTGAAAATTTCATCAAAATCCCAGGAAACATTTCCATGTTGACAAAACAGCATTTTCTGATGGAAAAATGTTAACCCCCCCCCCCTAATGATAACATTGTTCACTGCATCCCAGAAGATCCAGGAACACTTTACACACTATGGGCCAACTCCAGCTGCTGTGAATCAGCCTAGCCCCATTGACTTCTATAGAGTTATGCTGATTTACATCATCTGAGGATCTGGATTGATACCAAGCTACTGTACTCCAGGCTAGGGTGAACGGCAAGAGCCAGCTCCCAGATGCATGATGCCAGCAATGGGAAGGGGACACATATTGCCCAAGGACAACAGATCAAAATCCTCCTCTTATGAAAAGAATCATGGGATTGTTAGTGTCTGAGTGGTGCAGATGGAAGCACAGATATTGGGTCTCATCCTAGAGAGACCTCAATGCTGTCAATGGCATGGACTGCACTGTATCTACCTTGAAGTGAGAGAGAGAAGGTTGGTGAGGTCATATCTTTTATTGGCCCAACATCTGTTGGTGAGAGAGACATGCTTTCAATCTCCACAGACCTCTTCTTCGGGTCTGGGAAACGTACTCAGAGCATCACAGTTAAGTACAAGGTGGAGCAGATTGTTAAGCATAAAGAGCTAACACATGTTGCAAGAAACCATTCAAAATGAAGTCTGCAGTCACAGGACAAGGAGTTAGTGGGTTACAGATTGTAGTAATGAGACATTAAACCAGTAGCTCTATTGAGTCCATGATTTTTGGTGTCTAGCCAAGTTATGAATTTAAGCTCCCAGGCTCGTCTTTTGAAGGCGTTGTGCAGGTTTCCTTTCAGGATGAGGACTGAGAGGTCAGATATGGAGTGATCACTTCGTGGAAAGTGTTTGCCCATGGGTGATAGGGTGTTTTTGTCTTTTATCATTTTACTGTGAGAGTTCATTCGAGAGTGTAGTGATTGTCTCTGGTTTCATCCACATAGTTGTTGGGACATTTGATGCACTGGATGAGGTACACCAGATGTTGTGAGAGGCATGTGTAGGACCCCCGGATCTTGAATGGTGTGTTGTAGGGGGTATTGATCATCGTAGCAGTGGAGATATGTCTGCAGATTTTATATCTGTTGTTCTGGTGCCATGTTCAGTTGGTGTGTCCTGGTCTGTGGGGAGCTTGCTTCTGATGATAAGTTAGGTGAGGTTGGGGAGTTATTTGAAGGCCAGAAGAGCAGGTTCAGGAAAGATTTCTTTCAGGATGGAGTCCCCATCAGGCATGGATTGTAACTGTTTGATGATACCCCGTATGGGTTCCAGTGTGGGGTGGTAGGCATGTAAGGTTGTAGGTGTGTGATCAGTGGGTTTTTTTCCACTGTATTGAAGCAGGTTCTCTTGGAGACTCAGAGAGACCTATTCCATGATGTGATCCACTTCTCTGAGGGAGTGTCCTTGCTTGGTGAAGGCAGTTTTAAGTGTAACAGGTGTATCCCGGACTTTCTCCTCAGAGCATATTCTGGGGTAGCTAGGTGCCTGGCTGTAGATAACCCATTTCTTGGTGTGTCTGGGGCAGGGCCGTCCTTAGGCATATGCAGAATACGCAGCTGCGTGCTTCATATGCGGCAGTGCCGGCGGACAGCCCTATCCCCCAGCTGCCCCCCCTGTGCATTCCTAGGGGGGTGCAGGGCCTGGGACAACTCCCTCCGCCCCTGCTCCGCTTCTTCCTGCCCCCACCCCGCCCCCATTTTCCACCCCTTCTCCCAAGCCCCCTCCCCCAGCGACAGACGTAGCCCAGGGGATTAGCGGGGGGGAGGGGGGGCCTGGTGCTGGTGCATTGCTGGGGGGGGGAAAACCAGGAACCGGGGAGTGTTGGGGTCACCCTGCAATAAAACCAGGCTGGTAAGAGCCAAAGTGTGGCTGGCTGGCTGCAGCACGCACAGACGTATCTGGGAGTGATTTACATGCTGGAAGCTGTATGGGAGCAGTCCAGACTGGAGGGTACAGCAGCAAGGCATTGTACAGGGAACCCCAGGTTAGAGGGCAAGGGGGCACAGCTACGCACTAGTCTGGATTGTATCCTGAGTATGTCACACTGTCCCACCGTGATGGTTAAAGAGATGACTTACGTTCACACAACACCTTTCAGCCTGGAGAACCCACAAGTGCTCACAGTCAGGAATCACTTGCCTATTCTGAAATGCAGCCAGCTCCCTCTGGGGTGGATTGCCGTGGCTATTTTGCACCAGTAATGGTGCAACATCTTTGTAGGTAGGGAAGAGACTTCCTAAGCTGATGATGCAGGGGGAATTTCAAGAGGTGGGACATGTACACAATGAAATTTGTACGGGACCCTGGGGCTCTCACAGAATGCACGGTGGGCCTTTCGATGACCACGAGTGTCAGCGCTTTGGTTTTCTGTCTCATCCGAAAGAGTGCACACATCACCTCAGTGCTCCTCAACACCACGCTGACGTGCTGGTCCAGGGCTGACTCAGAGGGAAGAATGCCACCCGCTCAGTCAGCGACCCTCACTCCTGTGTAAGAACAATAGTGTAACTGCAAAGTCCCAAGGGCTCCCATTCATCCTGTTTCATGCTTGACGAGGATTTAGTAGCAGGGTCAGGATAAATTACTGCACAATTAAGTGCTGAAGTGTGGCTTCCCACCTTCTGTTGAAGCACATGGCTTGGCGACATAACTATAGGTTCTACATTCCGAAGCAGGGTCAAGGGGAACGGAAGGATCAATAGATGGACGATTATCCCAGGCTACAAGAGTGGTTAAGACTCCTTATTCAAATGCATTAGAGCAAGAGGATTTGCTGTATTGCTGCTCAGCTCTGGAGGAAGCAGAGAAGACACCTTGCTCTATGTAGTTGAGGACACTGGAAAGCAAAATGGTCATTTTCTGCACACAGGCTTGGTGCTAAAGCCACATCAGGTCAGGAAGCGCACATAGCTAGGCGGCGCAGGGAACTTACATGCATGATCCCAGCCTTGGGCAGCTCTCCAAGCTCCCCAGGCATGGCCAGTGGAACCCAGAAGATAAAAAGAAACAGTAACACAGGTGTACTATTCACAGCCTGCTGACGAGGAACTTTCACATGAGCAAGCTTGTACCTTGCTACCTTCCAGGGCCAGAATACAAGCCAAAGCTCCAGCGAGCTCACAGCTTCACATGGTTCCCTCCACCAACTCTGTGGCTTGGCAGAAGTTTTTGCATTCCTACAAGAAAAACAGCCAGATTATTCAGCACTTTCTTTTTGACTGTGCAGTTTTCCAGTGGTGAATTTATGCCCCAGCAGCAGTTGTGTGGCCATTTAGGGAAATTAGATAAAAGCAGATAGTGACCCTGCATCTGTAGTGGCTGGAAGAACTATGGAATTCAGAACGATTGTAGCTGCAGAATACGTGATTCTCCGAATTCACACTCGCCATTGTTTTAATGTGTCTGTTACATCAATATCCTGTGGATGGGTGATGTACTAGTGCCAGGTGGAATCCATGTGGCCCTGTAGGAGCCCTGAAATCAGGCACTCCCATTAAGAAACATTTTGATATCTATTAATCAGACCAGATGATTACAGTGGTCCTTTCAATCTACAGCACTTATCCAGCCCCTGTTACCATAGTGTTTGTGCACTGCACACTCTTTAATATCTTTATCCCCATGGCACCCCTGCGAAGTAGGGCTGTGCTATTGTCCCCATTTTACAGAGGGAGGAACTGAGGCACAGTAAGATCACATAAGTCGTCACTGGCAGAGCAGGGACTTGAACTCAGGTCTCATAAAGTCTGAGGCTAGTGCCTTAACCACTGGATCATCCATCCTGCTCTGGATGTTATTAAACCTCTGACTGCCAGAAGCT